CCGTGGGACCGGAAAGATCTGATGCAGAGGCAGGGTTTAGGGTCTAGGGTTTAGGGTTTAGGGTTTGGGGTCTAGGGTCTAGGGTTTAGGGTTTAGGGTCTAGGGTTTAGGGTTTAGGGTCTAGGGTTTATTTGGAGAGTCGGGCGACTTAGTGAGAGGTGATTGTGGACTTTGTACGGATCACAGCCCTAATTGGGGTCCCTTTTAGGGTACTTTTACTACTAGGGTCTACTTACTACCTGCTTACCCAGCACCCTGACCTCCAAGTAGGGCTCGAAAGTTTAGGGCTCAGGGCTTCAGAGCCTAGCGCCTGGGGCTAAAAAGACTGCGGGAACTTCCATGGCTGCAACAAAGACGCCAGACCTGAAAAACACAGAAGAAGGCTTAGGACGAGATTCTGGTGTAATGGTCAAGGGCTATGAAGGGGGGGCTTACTACTACGAAGTACTCCGACAACGATGTTTCAGACCTGAAGCCTAAACATCTGTCAACTACGAACCCTCGTGTTTTAGGCCCGCGACTCCCACACCAGTGCTAGGCTCTCAACCGATATCACCACTGGCGCACAGAAATTGGAGCAGTCTTGCTTGGAGCAAGTTCAATTTTGGTATGACGTTGCCGCACTGCCTCAATGCTCCACCCCAATCTGGTCGCCACGCGGGTGTGTTCCTGAGCTTTCGATCAAACAGGTTCGAGTCTTGGAATATCTTAAACTGGGTTGTAGTTTTGGGGCCCTGAAAAGTATTTATGAATCGGTACCTCTATAGAAAACTTATGGAACATTTTAAAGTTGCCCAAATAGCCACCTAGTAAAGCCATGGTCTTGTATGTTCAGGCTTCTATAAGTGTTTCGGGTTTTGGGTATAAACTTAGTTGCTGAGTTCACAAGTGTACACTTTCAGTTCTATAAGGGATCACCTTATCCCAAAAAGTGTAAAGTGTGTTCACTGAGCTACTAAGAAGAACGAAAGAAGGGTGTAGGTCTGGGGCCTCAGGTTCGGGATGTCGTGTTCTGCAACCTCAGCGTCCAAGAGCAGGTTCTCCACACAACCCAGAACTCCCTAAACCCCGAACCCTGAACCCTAAAATCCTAAACCCTACACTCTTAAAGCCCTAAAACCCTAAAACCCTAAACCTTACACCTTGAACCCTAAAATCCTAAACCCTACACTCTAAAACCCTAAAACCCTGAACCCTAAAATCCTAAAGCCCTAAACCTTAAACCTTGAACCCTAAAATCCTAAAAACCCTAAAACCCGAAACTCCGGAAAGGCAGAGTCGCAAGTACAGAAAGGCCATCATGCGACGCTCAGGAGGACAGGCCTGTGGCCGAGGGCTGGGGCTCGATGTACCTAAATGTGTTTAGGGCTTTTAATGGTTTAGGGTTTAGGGTCTAGGGTTTAGGATGTAGGGTTTAGGGTTTAGGGTTTGGGGCGCTCGATATACCTAAATGGGTTTAGGGCTTTTCGGGCCTCTAGGGCTTTCAAAGCTTTTAGGGCTTTTATGGTTTAGGGTTCTTAGGGCTTTTAGGGTTTAGGGAGTATACTTAAGCCTAAAAGCACCTATATTTAGGGTTTAGGGCTTTTAGGGTTTAGGGTTTAGGGAGTATACTTAGGAGTATACTTAGGCCTAAAAGCACCTATATTTAGGGTTTGGTGCTTTTAGGGTTTAGGGTTTAGGGGGTATACTTAGGCTCTATATGGGCACATGAGCCTTAGCGTGGGTTTGTGGGTTATGCTTCGGAGTATCTTACTTCCCCAATAAGCCAGGGAAATAAACAAGCTAAGCTTTCAGATTGCTACTCAATTTTCAGAGCCCAAAACGCTTAAAGGTTGGGTATTGGAGAACTAAGGTATAGTGGTAATATAGGGGCCTTAGTGATTACGATACATTCTTGGGGTCTATCATACTATAATTATAGTCAGGAGCCCCCAAAACCTTATTCTAATATGATTATTACTATTATTAATTTTAGTCCTATTGTTAATTATTAAGGCCCATGCATTAGAGCTGTGAAGCCCTGGACCCTCCACAGCCCTCCTCCCGGACCGAGAGTTGGGCCCGCAACTACTTGTCCCCCATACCCAGAGGCTCCACATCTAGTACCATTATGGAAATAGGTTCCTAAGACCTTCAAAAGGATAGTCTTTTGGGACCTAATTCCATAATGGTACTATTTTGTGGAGCCTCTGGGATGGGAGATGGTTGGGTTCTGTCTAGAGTCTGGGGTTTAGTGGGGCTTAAAGGTTTAGGGTTTAGGCTTTCGGGTTTAGGGTGTAGGGTTTAGAGGTTTAGGGTTCAGGGTTGCTTTGAACCTCTCAGATACCCGCTGTCTTGATTCCTGCTGCACCTGCTATAAGATTTTTTTAGTAAGCTCTCAACCGACAAGTTCTGCATTAGATACCTTCAAAAGCCCCTTCAAAATGCAGAATCCTTTTAGGTAGCCGCATAAACTGGATGCGATAGGCAAGGAGGCCTGGTAGCCCGAAAGCAGGGGTTTAGGGGTTGGGGTTTAAGGGTTTAGGGTGTAGGTTTCAGGGCTGAAACCAAAGCAGAAAGCTTCGCTCTACGCTGTACTTCCTTTCTGCCCTCCGATTGCTATATGGTTGGACCCTATATGTATTGACAGCACGCAGGGCTTGGGTTCAGGGTTCAGCTTGGATGAACGTGTACATTGTGTATATGTGATGACGAACAGGGGTGCAAAGACGAAAGTCAAGACCCTAAACCCTAAACCCTAAAACCCTTAACCCTAAAACCCTAAACCCTGTAAACCCCAGAACCTGCACCCTGCAACTCGAGCTGAGACACGAACCCTAAACAAACCCAAATCCCACAACTTGCAAGCCCCCCCCACACCCACACCCACCGTAAACCCGGGTTTCGAAAGGATGACGTGCGCGGCCCTAAACCCTAAACCCTAAACCCCTAAACCCCAGAGACATGTCACACTTTGCGCATGTTCAGGATTCACGGAGTTGTGGGTTTTAAGTTTCGAGTTGTGGGGTTTACTGCCTTGGAGTTTGGAGTTCAGGGCTTCGGGGTTTTGGGTTTGGGGTTTTAGGGTTTAGGGTTTAGGGTTTAGGGTTTAGGGTTTAGGGTTTAGGGTGGAACTAAGGTCACGCCTGCTCGCATGGCTCGTCACCCTCGGCATTCGCCTGTGGGTCCAAAGCCAGCATGGTCTGTGCCTGCAACTCTTGTCTCAGGTAACCCTAAACCCCAAATCATAAACCCTAAATTATAAGCCCTGAATTCTAAACATGTCTAAACCCTAAATCCCAAACTAAGATGGCTTGTAGTAGCTGTGGGCTCAGCCGAAACCCTCCAGAGTAAGTATCCATTAACTGTACAGTATGCATCATGACCACTTAGTTGCTGAGTTCATAAGCCCCGAAAAGTGTACACTTTCAGTTCCACAAGGGGTCATATCATTCCAAAACGTGTAAAGCGTGTTCACTCAGCTACTAAGACCACATATCGCCAGCACGATCATCATGGACAAGCAAGCCGGGTAGCAGTTCCGGCCGTCTTAGGTCTTAGGTCATAGTCGCCCTAGACAAAGATAGAATAGAGACAGCTCTGCTTGTACTTGTGGGGTCCAAAGACACATCACGCAAGAATCGAAGGCTGCAAGTCGGAGAGCCCCAAATTTCTAGAACCCTGCACCTCAAGTTCATGTAGAAGAATTCTACAACCGTAAACCCTAAACCCTAAACCCCTAAAGCCCAAAGCCCCTAAACCCTGAAACCCTACAACCCTAAACCGTAAAACCTAAAACCCTAAACCCTAAAGCCCTAAAGGCCAAGTGTCATGAAGCCCGCGGCTCAGAGCCTTCCAGCATCCTGCCTTCCCGACTACCGCAGCCCGGAGGATCTGCGTGCCTTGATCTCTATGGTAACCCCCAAAAAGTTGGGGTTTAGGGTTTAGG